CAGTTTTGAACTTTTAAAAAAAAATTTTTTTGTTTCGAATTCTTTTAATTTGTGAACAGTTTTTTTAGGCTCTAATTTAGCTCCACAGACAAGCAATGCTAATAACATTTTCTTCTTTATCTCCTCCAGGCGCTCACTGAATGAAATGCAGCGAAGACATGGGACGACTGGAGGGAGTCCACACGGACCCGGAGCATCTCTGGTTGGACGAGGTACTCGTTTTTCCTGCCTCGCATTAGCTCTGCAGGCTTACTGATTATTAGCTTTAAACAAAGGATTTAAGAAACAAAAATTTGTAAGAATGTATAAAGACTATAAAGTCTGAGAAGCCCTGGCTACTTTTCATGCTGCTCAACATGTATAAATACATCAGCTTTAACTGGACAGTGTGGTCTTCAACATAAAGGGTTAACTAGAACATCAGTCAGCAGCTTCGTCTTGTGATCCTGCAGGTGCCGACTGGCAGCATCAGGGGAACATTCCTGAACACGCCTGCCCCAAGTGCAATGAGATCCTGCCAGACCTGGACTCCCTGCAGATCCACATCATGGACTGCATCAACTAACTGCAGCTTCAGYGGCTGCTTTAGCACCTTTTTATCTGAGTCTTCCTCCTCTTTCTCTGTCTGAACCCCCGAGATGCCACCCTTCTTGCTTTTGGAACAGTTTACCTTTCAGAGCTGTGGAAACATCAGGAGTTTGGCTATGCATGTTAATAACAGAGTGWTGGCTCGAATTATCTGTACACAAATTTAATTCAGTTGAAAGTAAATAAATATAAACAGATGTTATTTTCTGGGCAAACAGAAATGTTTGCTCTCTGCTCATTCTGCACAATAATTAACCAACCAAAGCTGAACTTGTACAAATTAAAAGCATTATTTTAAGTATTTACTTGTGAAGGTTTTTCAGATGTCTTCCTTTTCTGTATAAAATTTAATTCTTTTCGTATATTTTCTCAGTAAGGAACRAGGAGCCTGAATCTTGTAGGGACTTTAATATGAAGGTCTATATATATTTTTTTGATTTTGCAGCTAATACTTGTTATTAGAACCTAATATATTTACCTATAGTAGTAGTTATGCAGGGAGCTCTCTGCCAAGTCTGTACACTGTGGAGTACAAAAGTTTGTAACTCTCTTAAGAAAATAAAATCTTTACTCCTGTGATGTAATAAARTCTTGAAGCATTAAAATAAATTTAATGTGACCAGTGAAGTGGCTTTTTTATTCGTCTGACTGTAGCTTTTGAAACATTAAAAAAGTTCTTTCACGGTCAGCTTCTTGTGTGTGTATTTTATCCTGGATCTTGCCTGTCAGGCACAGTTACATTTGTAATTAACCCAATCATTACAACAGCACTTGACCTTTTTACAGAAAGTAAWGCACATGCTCAGTACRCATTTTGCAGTGCATTGTGGTCTAGATCAGTGGTTCCCAAACTTTATCTTCTGACCCACAAAATATTCATGGCAAAAACTTGTGACCCCAAATATTACTGGT